AGTTTGAAGCAAGTTGTATTTATTACGAATAGCAGTATATATTTGATTTATTATAAATAGTAGTATATATTTGATATCTACTCAATTGTTCTTGGTTTTCCCCAGGTCACATTCCGGACAAGAATTTATCATTGTAATATTAACAGTCAAGGAGTGATTTGCTTGGATATTTTAAAAGACAACTGGAGTCCAGCATTAACCATATCTAAAGTCCTTCTTTCCATCTGCTCACTTCTTACAGACTGCAACCCTGGTAAGACTTCTGCGCTGTATTGTATATAGCTGGATGGTGATATAACAGATTTACATCTTCAGTTATCCATGAAAAGCTACTACAGTGATTTAGATTAGCAAATGGTTAACCAAAAGTACCTGTGTTGCAGGTAATGAATGCAATTTAGGCTGAGTGCATTCATAGAGTTGAGCCTTTTGCCTAGCCCTGCTACTGTGTTTTTAACAAAAATCTGGCATGCAGAAATTGAGCATGCTGGGGAAAACTTTTCCTGCTTAATTGTTACATTTTAGGCTTCTGTTAAAGTGCAGGGCGGCAGGGAGTGGCATCTCTATTCATTCAGTGTCAGCTGTCAAAAATATTAATAGATGGAGTAGTTTGTCTGTTTTGCTATCAATACTAAAATCTATTTAAGTCAGTAACATATTTTTATTTGCAATAATAAGTACTTCATACGTTTCGATGGTAAAGATAGCAGCTATTGATTTTTCTATCTAGTGTTGGGGGGAAATCACGGACAAATCAATTGAATTGCTTTTTGCACTGAAAAGATTTTCTGCTGATTCAGCCACCCTGGAGTTTTTCTCTTAATTTAATACCATGGCTCAAACATGGTTTGGCACTAGGGAACAAGCTCAGGCGTCGCACACTCTCCTTAATTTCTTCCTCTCTTTGTGTATTCTACTTAAATAGTTAATTTCTGATTTGCAGCAAAACATAGTTTAATGATGCATTGATGATCTGCAGCATACCAGAATCAACCTTGGTTTACAATCCTGGTTTAGCAGGGTGAGCACAAACCATAGTTTATTATTTTGGGATACAAGGTCAAGTTGTGGTTTGCTGCAAATGAGAAAGTTACTAACTAAACAGAGCTCATGCAGGGAAGAGTGAGCATCCAAGTCAGGGGTTCCACAATAATAATAATAATAATTTTTATTTATACCCCGCCCTCCCCAGCCAAGGCTGGGCTCAGGGCGGCTAACAAACAATAATAAAACAAGTTGAATGAATGCAACTTAAAAACAAGATTAAAAAACAACATTAAAATATTGAAACAGTAAAATATTAAAATGTTAAAAGTGCAGCCTCCATGTAATGTGAACTAACCCAGTTTTTCAATACTTAATTTACGTTTAAACTACTCATAGGAAGTGATGGAATTAATATTCTACAGCTGGTGTGAGCTGGGTTTATCCGACTACTTAATGCCAAATTCATACGAAATGCTTTCTTCGAATTTTTCCTTTCTTGCCTGGATCATTTCTTTGTTTATAACAATTGTGCATTTGTGGGATGATGTTTCCTCTTTAAAACCAAAACAGATTCATACAGGGACTTTTAAGGGAGAACTCACGATGGCATGATGGAATTTCTTTTTTTTAAAATAAATTCTGGCAGTGCTGTTTTCTGGCTTTAGGCCCATTTCTTTTAGACCCAGTATAGGTCTGGTGCAATTTTAACAAATTGTCAGATTAGTCATGCTTTGTAATCTGATTTTGAACATGGAGAAGCAAATTGACTACCTTTTTTCTTTCAGTGGGGGAATTGCTTTGAGAATACCCCAGGCACATCTCAGAGAAACACACACACACACACACAGAGTGTTCTCTGTTCTCTGTCAGCTGGAAGCAATTTTCAGTGCCCTCTGTCTTCCCTTCATCTTAGCCTGCCCCAGCCCACTTTAAAGGCAGAAACCTGGTGGGGGCCCTGCAATGATAAGCAACCTTGTGCTCTTTGTTCACTACTCATCTAATGGGCAAAAGCAGATCAGGTCAAATGGAAAGGCAGTAGCGAGTCCTTCCACAAAAATAAAATACAAAACATGCAGGTTTTCCAACGCGAAGGGGAGGGGGACGACATGTATTAGTTACCCAGTAGGCTTGGATTTATGCAAATCTTCATTAGAACAACAAATAGTAATAAGAATGGCAGCTAATTAACCTCCAGCCATACGCAGTGATTAAACTGAGTTTGACGCACAGCTGCAGCTTCATTGGCAAGCACCGCTGTTCTTCTCAAGCAAGCCGTGCCGAGGAAATGAAAAAGAGGTATTTGCTCCTGAAACTTCTGGTGTTCTTGCGGTAATCTGCAAAAGATGTAGAGGAGAAGATCTTCCCTCTCTGGCTTTACATCGCCGGCCTTTTATTTCTGATCACTCAAGGCAGGCACGTGTTTGTCCCTTTTAAACAAGCGTCGTGAGATTTGACTTGTAAACTGTGTCAGCACCATCAGGGAGCAAATTGTAGTTAACTGCTTTCTGATTCTTGCTAGCAACTAGGTGGATTTATTGCTGTGTGTTGGTTTATTCATTTATTTTATTAGCTTTATATACAGCCCTTCATCATAAGATATCAGGGCGGTTCACGGAATAAAATACAGGATAAAAACAAGGAAATAAGTAAAACAAAACAGCAAAACAATACCCCCCCTTTCTACCTTGGCGGAAGAAATAAATGAAGTAGTTGTGATAGAGGAATAAGAAATTATAAAATGATAGCATCTGCATTATTATTATTAATTATTGTTATTAATTTTGTTGTTGTTGTTAATTTGAAAAAAATGATGCCATGAGAATGAGATACCTTGTCTCCGGTCCCATTTACAGTTTTGCACGGGAGTGAATGGTGCATGCATGAAGCTTGCTGGTATTTCAGCCTTCAGATTTTGCATTGTCGAAAATGGCAAAAAGCGTAAGGGAGCCTTGGGGTGGGGGAAAACACTGGATTTGCATTAGGATAGGTAGAGTGGAAGTTTTGCTCCTAAACCCACCAAACTGCATACTCGCCATTTGCTAGTAAAGAGGCGAGGCACTGAGGTCTCCATGAAACCACAAGTCACTCCTGCATCCAAATGAAGGCTGTCTCATTTATCTGCCCATCAGAAACGCAACTAGGGTTGGGTCATATCGGATATATATTGTTTATTGTAGGCTGTGTACCATAAGTTTGCATAGCACTTTGCAAAGTAACGTAGAAGATGATAGTTCCTGCTCCAGAGAGCTTTGTTGCAAACTACATGTAACATGGAGTATTGTAATTAGGACACCCTTCAGAATCAGGGGAGTCAGTTTGGTTTCTGTCTGTGGCACAGATGATAGGGCGCAGTCCTTCTCAGTCAGTGTTACTCCTTTATTCTAACATTCAGATCTGGCATCATGGGTGCTGTTGCTTTTGCATTGTGGCCAGAGTGAACAGTTCGCTTAGAGCATAGCAATTGGTTGACTGGTTTTCTCCCTTTGCAGCTGACCCCCTGGTTGGAAGTATTGCTACTCAGTATATGACAAACAGAGCAGAGCATGACAGAATGGCCAGACAGTGGACCAAGAGATACGCTACATAGGAATCTGCTGTGGAACATGCTGGACCTGTGCAAGCACATTCACCAAGTGCATCAATAGCCCTCCCCTTCTTATTTTTATTACGTTTGGAAGCATTTTGTGACAAAGTTGATTGCCCTTGTCCCCTTTCCCCCTTTATTTTTATTCTTTTATTTTATTTTTTTCTGTTCAACTTGAAAACTGTATCTTTAAAATATAGATTGGGAATTTGGGGTTACAGTGCAAGGAATGTTGGAGCTGTAATAGTATAGAGCTTTGTCACAAAGCTTTGTATTAATGTATTTTTTTTCTTTGTTGTGTCTTTGGGGGGGAAACAAGCAAACAAAACTCAGAACTATATATTGTTTCTACTTAAATGTAGTGTTTAGGGTTATTTTTTTGTACGGAAGTCTTTAATGGTGGGTGCATGTTACTGGGAACCGGTTTTGTATTAAAAAAAAAAGCATAAAACTTAAGAATCACTGTGCATTACTAAGACTGTGTTTTAACACCAGCCTGCTCTTTTCCCAAACACTAGGCTGCTGGGTTGAACCAGATGATACGTATTTTGATTTACTTAAAAGAAAAGTGCTTGTAAATTTCTTAGGGACCTGCCACTTTTGACTGTGGATCAGTTGATGTACACTTGTATTATTAAAGCACTCAATAAAAAAACAAAACACTGTGGCTGATAACATGCACTTCTTGTAATGCTCCTTGTGCAGTGGACCCAGGTCAGCTCCGCATGTTTCTGAACTTGCATAAAACTAAAGAATCTACAGTTGCTTTTAGTTCCGAGTTGTTCTTTTCCCCCTAAGGGCCAGCTCCAGTATGCTATTTGTGGATCAATTGCCACGGGAAAAAGGAAGCACAACGATACTGTTAACACATCCAATTTTAATGTCCTTTGTTAAAAATCATCATCTCCAGGATGACATTGGCAGGGTTAAAATCCGAGGTGTCTCCACTGCCCTACAATATCCAGTTCACAAGAAGCAATTCCAATAGCTGTGTAAAAGGCAATCGCTGTTGACATACTCCCTGATTTTATCTGGGATGGCGTCTACTTGATTAGCACTTGCAAACATCTCTCGATCTGCAGTGGGATGCGTAAATTATGTTGTAATAAAATTTGTTCATACTGTTCCACTTTTCACAACAAAGCAAATCTCTTGTCATACAGTATGTGTCACAACATTATCAAGGTTTACAACACATGGCAGCTTACACTGGATCTTTAAAAAAAGGATCACTCGTTTTTTGTAGGTAGCAATATCTCAACACTATATAGGTTATATCATTCACCTTATATCAAACAAAATATGCTCACGTCGAAGAGCATACCGCAATTTGTTGTGTCATTTTATGCTTATCAGTTATATAGAATCAGCAGCTCTCCCAAAACGCAGCTCTTTAGCTTGGCACTGTTTCACCTTGTCTCTAGGCTCATCTAAGGTGTGTGTGTATATATATATATATATATATATATATATATATTCACACACACACACACACACAGGTCACTTGCAAATGATCCACGTTTAACATACGCTTTCAACTTTACGCAGTTCACAGCAAGCCAGTTTAAAAGCTCATTTTGTGTTGTAGAAATAACTTTTGGGGGAAGACTCATTCAGTGCAGTGCTCCAGAAGGTAAGATTGCTCATAGCGGGCTGGTTCTAAGGTGGTGGTTTGAGTACAGTGGAACCTCGGAAGCCGAATGCCTGTAAACTTGGAATGTTTTGGCTCCCGAACGATCGGAAACCAGAAGTGATTGTTCCGGTTTTTGAATGATTTTCAGAAGCTGAACACCTGGCTCAGCTTCCAGTTGATTTCAGGACGCTCCTGCAGCCAATTGGAAGCTGCACCTTGGATGTCAAACGGATTCCGTTTGACTTCCAAGGTATGACTGTATAGGCATTTCTGCATATTTCCCACAACATAAACCCAGTGTAAGAAGCAAGTGACTTGTAATGCATATCTGACTTGCATCCTCAGCACTGAAATCATTTTGCAATCCTTGTAGGTCCCTGAACTCACAGTGTTACCATGCTTAAATTTTTTACTGGTTCAAAAAATGCAAATTTCTCAACTTCAACCTATTTTGCAGTGGAAATGTTTGTGAGGGCAGGTGTCCTGTGATCACAACTTTTAGTATAGATGATGCCATGAAGAACAGTAACAGACAAAAAATCTGAAGAAGCAAATATAAAAAGGAGAGGTCACAAATGTGTAACAAGGGAGACTTGAAGGAAGATGAAAAAGGAGCGCTGCCAAGCATCTTCAGGAATTGTGGAGGGACAGCTCAGCCCTTTAGTGGAAACTGGCTGCACTTCTAATGCCAGAGCACTAGAAGGAACGGAACCAAACAAAATATTGTCTGTTGTCAACGACATGCTGCCTACAAGCTGGATAAGAGGAAAGAAAGCCAAGTTCAGACATAGCTGTGAAATCTTTGTCCATGCAAGCACAGGGCACAGCACTATTTATGTTCAACCCACATATGCAGTTTTGTACATTTTGTCTTATCCATCCTTGGATGCAGGAGGTTTTTACTGCTGTGTGCTGCACGCTAAAACTGCACTGAGTGTGCATTGTCTATGCCGTCTCGCCCACTGCCCCATGGATTGTGTTTTAAACTTTTAAAAGCAACACTTGTCCTTACTAAATCCTTGTTGTGCTGTTCAAAAAACAAGTCTACTGCACTAAACACTTCCAGCAAGGGTACTTGTGGCAAGGCTATTTCTACTCAGAATTGACCTTCAAGCTAATTTTAGACATGTCAGTATGGAAGAAAATACTCGGCTAAGTGGGTGTTGTGATTTGGAAAGTATAAGCTCCAGTATTGATATTTAAATTGTCTTTTTTTTTTACAGATGCAAGCATGTTGCCTCTTATAATTTCACAGTGCTTTAATTTTACTTAATTTAAAATAAATATACAAAAGTGAAATGAAGTACAAAAAAAATACAAATTCAAAAACCATTTCTGCAAACTATAAAACAATCATTCCTATAAACTCTAAAACATTAAAAACCATTCCTTTAGATGTACAGTAAATCTTGATACATACGTTAAAGCTGCAGTCCTGTACCTACCTCTGTGAAAGTAAGCCCTATTGAACTCAGTGAGGCAAGGATAATACCCTAGTATATCAGAATCTTGTATCATACTAACACTAGTCTTATTCAGGACGAGGAAGAATGAGAGAAGGAACTTTGTATAAAATATTGTTAAGTAATACAGTTTTTGCAGGAATTTTAAGTATGTACGTGCAGTATTATTTTGTTACTTCCTTAAAATGTAAAGCATGTTTTAATCTTGTTCTAATATTGATTGCATTTTATATGTCTCTTGGTAAATTACATTGGTAAATGTAAATTCAAAGGGGGGGGAACGTCTTGATTCAGTTTGATTCAGCTCTAGAAAATTTTAGCGAGATCTCCTAACTAGGGCCACAGGAATCCTTGTACAAGAAAGATGATTGAAAATATTTGGGGACTAGTGTCAGTCTGTTTGTCATTTCACGGCCATTTGGCTTAAATGTGCTCTCTGAAAAAAACACTGGAAAAGATGGCTAAACGATCCATCTGTATTCATTCCCATTAGCTATGCTTGCTTTTTAAAAAACCCCACAGTCTTTTCCTAATTATAATGAAGACAAACAACATGTTCACAGGCAAGAATCTTGCATTCGCTCACCAGCTCTGCTGTTTGGTACTTCAGGTGAAGGTAAATTACAATCAATAAGGATTATGTCTGCATTTTAAAATGGTGTCAAGGCAAAATGTTCAAGCAAGCACCAGGAGGCAGGATGCTAAGAGAAGCAATTATTGGAAACGATGCATTGCCTCATAGTTTCTACTCCTCCACTCTTGCAATGCCTCCAGTGACATTTGCTGCAGACTTATCCCTAGCCTTTGGCAAACATAATCAGGTTAACATGATAAAGTTTGTCCATATGTTTTGTATGAGACTTTATGAAGTCAGTCAATTATTTCATTTAAACCTCAGAATAAACCACTTCTCAATCCTCTTCACAGTGTAAGTCTATGGCAAATTAGATCTTGTTTCTCAGTGTATTTCACAACATTTACAGTGGTACCTCGCAAGACGAATGCCTCGCAAGACAAAAAACTCGCTAGACGAAAGCGTTTTTTGTTTTTTGAGCTGCTTTGCAAGACGATTTTCCCTATGGGCTTGCTTCGCAAGACGGAAACGTCTTGCAAGTTTGTTTCCTTTTTCTTAACACCGTTAATACAGTTGTGACTTGACTTCGAGGAGCAACTCATAGAACGCGGTGTGGTAGCCTTTTTGAGGTCTTTAAAGACTTTGGTGATTTTTGAAGCTTTTCCAAAACTTTCCCGACACCGTGCTTCGCAAGACGAAAAAAATCGCAAGACGACAAAACTCCCGGAACAAATTAATTTCGTCTTGCGAGGCACCACTGTATATGATTATGCCATCATTCTGACATCTTGAAACGCCTGGCTTTCTCAGATGGCAGAGCATGAGACTCTTAAGATCAGATCAGAAGAATATTTGCATCAGCCACTAGCCATAGCAATAAAATAAATGTACTGAAGATAGAGGTAAAAACTTAACTGTACAAAATACATTTTGGAGGTTTCCATCAATAAATAATAAGATCTTATTGCTCCCGCTAAAAACCTTGCAGTTTTTGCTGCCACCTGATCATCTTGATCTGCTAGACAGGGGTCAGCAAACGTTTTCAGCAGGGGGCTGGTCCACTATCCCTCAGACTTTGTGGGGGCCAGACTATTTTGGGGGGGCGTGAACGAATTCCTATGCCCCACAAATAACCCATAGATGTATTTTAAATAAAAGGACACATTCTACTCATGTAAAAACACGCTGATTCCCGGACCGTCCACAGGCCGGATTTAGAAGGTGATTGGGCCGGATCCAGCCCCCGGGCCTTAGTTTGCCTACCCATGTGCTAGATGAAAGGACACAGTAGCAATGTTGAGCGACCTGGCATGGACAATAGTAGAGGGGTAACAACCTCACTCCTCAAATCTTTAGAAAGAGTGCAAACCAGAAGCACATGAGCCACTGACTCAATACTGTCGTCTCCACATGGAAATAACCGTTTTCCCAGCGAAATTTTTTTAAATCGACCCTCAAGCATAGCTGAAGGCAGTATCTACAATCTTGCAAAAGTGAAAATTTTGGAATTGTTAAATTTTGCAAATAGGGTGTGCCAAAGTGTCAAAATTACTAGGTCATACCATGGACAAAATTTCCTTATCGTGGCCAAATTATTCTGTTGCTCAATATCCTATAGGTGCTGCCTAATTAAATTATTTGCTGAAGCCCAGTGTTAATAACCGTTGCGGTGATAAAACAGAAAAGTAAAGCTTTGGGTTGACAATTTTAGTCCAAGCGCTGTCTCATGACAATCTTGTGATACTAAGGGTAGTAGACGAGTGGGGTTTGAATTTAGGCGAAGCCAATAATTAAGTGTCCTACACCAAATCTGTAATTCAACAGAGGGGAGAATAGCCTCCAAGTGCAATGAAGCATTTGGAATACGGGATGGAGCAGGAAAAAATTGCCTTAGGAACTTAGATTGAACAGCTTCTGTAGTTCCAAGGCGAGTGCCTGTCCAGATCTGAGCCCCATATAATAACTCTGTTAGGGGTTTAGCTTTAAACATTTCAAGTGCCAATGATATGTGATTGCCACCTTTCATATGGTAGAACATGAGATTGCTGGGGGTTGGACTAGATGCTTGTGGTCCATCGCAACTCTATGATTCAAGCAGAGGCCCAAATCGACTTTCTCAGATAGCTACCACCCTCACGTCCTGGTGGTAAACTGCCCCAGACAGACGGCTGCTATGGGAAAAGGGTTTCTCACACACGATCACCGCATATATGAATTAGCCCTATATAAAGCTTTCGGCTGATTCAACGTGACAAATGTTCTCATATAAATTCCATTTTGATCCAGTGAACCCTGACTTAGCCATACAATAAAAAGCAGGAAACATCTTGAAGCAATAAATCAACAGAAGGGGAGAGAGTATATCTCTTGAGGAAATTAATGGGCGCTTTTCAAATCTGCTTGTGAATTCATAGTAATCAACTTTGTAGAGCTGACATGTTTAGCTATGTATTAATATATGGAACCTTTATGCCCTAGAGCAGAGTCACTGAGGGAACAATATTAAGCGAGGGAAATAAGACATGCTTAGAAGTAATTCTCAAACATTATTCCACTACATATAAACAGTAAACTAAACCACACATTTAAACTCTGCTGAAAGGGTCTAGTAATCTTAGTTAAAAGACAGCTAAGGACGTCCTGTACCGAAACACTTCATGCCAAAATCCTTGCCTTTGATGTCGCTGCCAACCACTTACAATCTCTCTGAGGTGACTCGGAGGAATGCTAGCCTGTAAACAAGTGTGCGCCTTCGGTTTCTTGAGCTAAAGAAAAGGCCAGTGTTTTCACACATCATTCAATCCATGGTTTTTGGTTTACTGCCTGTTTAAAGCACCGCTTATTTTTCAGCGTAACGTTGGACCCTTTTCTGAAAACGCATTTCCCCCAATTTACAAAGGAGAAAGAATTGCTGGCAAATTGCATTGAGCATTACAAAATAAATAGAATTAGCTCTTCCAGATTAATGAGGATACGGTGTAGGTACCGTTGTGTGAAAAGAGAGAATTTGGTAAGCACTGGGGCCTGAGAGTACAAATGCCACACTTTGCAGCCTGATGTCTTTAGTGGCCTTTTCACACATGATCCTAAACACTACTTTGAGCTTCTCTTGCAGTTTTGTGTGCCTATGTGAATGTTGCTTATGTAGGATACAAAGGAGAAGAGAGTCATTTAAATCAAGCATACAATGTCGTTAATACAGGTGTTGCATCTTAAATTTTAAGAGCCAGAAAAATATGAATGAGACTTGTGTGAAAAGGAATGCTTTTAATTGAGAGAGAAACAAAATCTCTGGAATGCCCAACAGCGTTTTTAAGCTGTTTTTTATAGCAAAATGTCACTTATATGAAGGTGTCATTCATATGCATTCCAGAGCCAAGCTACATGTTACTTTTTCACCCTTTTAGAAGCGTGCATAAAAGTGGCCATTTTTACTTTGAAGAAATAACTGTTGAAGGACCTCAGTTTAGAACATGCTCGCTATGTCGGCCGGGGAGCCAGTTTCCTGCATAATGGCAAGAGGCATGTTTGGGAGCAAATATGGAGTATGTATTAAAAATAGAAGTTACATGTTCAGTCATGTTGCTGTGTGAATGTGAATAATGGCCCAGTACGCACATTACATTAAACCCTAGCTCAAACCAAACTATGGCTTAATGTGGGTGAACAGTTTCATGCTGCTCAAAAGTTCCCACCGTGCTAGCTCAGTCGGTAGAGCATGAGACTCTTAATCCCCAAAGCCATGAGTTCGGGCCCCACATTGGGCAAAAGATTCCTGCATTGCGGGGGGTTGGATTAGATGACCCTCGGGGTCCCTTCCAACTCTACAATTCTGTGATTCCTCACCTGCTCCTGCTGCTGCCATGCCACAGACAAACAGGTGTGGATTAACAGGACACCCATATCCAGTGCCGGATTTACATATAAGCTAAACAAGGGGGGGGGGACTGGATGTACATTTCCAAAATATAAGATTAAAAAAAACACAAACCTACTGTGATGGCCTGGGATTCGAACTCAGAGGCTGAACCTGAGGAATCCCAGCCTGCACAGGAGTCCCCGCCTCCAGAACCAGCTGAGCCTGAAGGGTCCTCACCTGTGCTGGATCCTCAGGTGCAGACACCAGCTGAGTCTGCTCTTGCTCCTGAGGTGATGGAGGACCCATTGCCTGCAGGTGCTCCACTCTCAGCCCCATCAGGGGAAGAGGAGGTTGCCTCTGGGTCCGGTAACCCTCCAGCCTCTCCTGAGCTGCAGAGACTCAGGGCAGAGAGGCAGAGGGAACTAAGTTTCTGCAGGAGGAGTGCTCGCCTCCAGGCCAGGAGAGGCGAGTCGCCTGTGGGCCGGGGCCGCCCTATGCCTCGGGGCAGATAAAAGCCAGTCAGCCCCAGTCCCAGGTTGTGGGAGCAACGTTGTTGCTAGCCTGTTCCTGCCTACACCCTGTCCTGCTCTTCTGCCAGAGTTCCTGATCCCACCTGACTCCCTGCCTTGGACCCAGCTACAGCTTTGACGGACAGCCTCCATACCGCACCATCAACCTCGGACTGGACTTGGACCTCACCTCTCGGTTAGCCCCCAGGACCAGCACACCTACATACAGCAACAGTGTTTTCTTTTGTGTTGTGTAGGCTCTTATGATGTAAGTACAGTGGTGCCTCGCAAGACGAATGCCTCGCAAGACGAAAAACTCGCTAGACGAAAGAGTTTTCCGTTTTTTGAGTCGTTCCGCAAGACGAATTTCCCTATGGGCTTGCTTCGCAAGACAAAACGTCTTGCGAGTTCTTGCAAGTTTGTTTCCTTTTTCTTAAAGCCGCTAAGCCGTTAATAGCCACTAGCGGCTAGCATAGCCGCTAAGCCGCTAATAGCCATGCTTCGCAAGACGAAAAAACCGCAAGACGAAGAGACTCGCGGAATGGATTAATTTCGTCTTGCGAGGCACCACTGTAATGGGCCCCACCTGCTAGCCTGCTCCCTAAAATATAGCATATATTCAACACAAATTTATTCCACACAACAATTTATTGTTGACAAAGGACAGCTGGGCATATATAGGGCCTCATTACCTTCAGTAGCGTAGGGCCTCAAACCTAAATCTAGCCCTGCCCATACCAAGACTCCTAGTAGACCCCACCTGCAAACCATGAGCAGCAAGCCAAGAAGACTTTGACTTGCAATGTTCAAAACACAGCAGCAACTAATTCACACCACTCACAAACCAGTGCCATCAATTACCTCCTTACCTTGAACTGTGCCAGCTGATCACTGAAAGAGCAACTGTTTAAGAATTGATGCACGAGTTCTTTTTTGTGGGATGTGAAACACAAGAGCAGACAAGTACAACATTCCTAGAGTGAACATGTTTACACATGGGGAGGAAAGTTTGTCCAGCCAGCAGGTAAACTTCCTGTTTCCTTCTGGGCTGGGACAGACTTCCACTGCATGTGACTAGAGGTGGGCGTGGCCTCACCTGTGCAGGTAATGACAAAAGGGCAGGGCAGCCATCTCTCTCTCTTTGACTACATGCATCGAAGAAGCAACATCTGCTTAGCCAAAGATGCTCTCCTGGCTTCCAGTCAAGAGAGGACAAAGGACTGTCTCCATATGAGATCGTTTCCAGGTGTATGTAACTTTTCTAAACTAAGCCTGCCTTCTGGGATCCAATTGTGAACAGAATGTGAGTAAACTCTTTTTATACTTTTATAGGAGACTGTGTCATGTCTTATCTTTTATGAGGGAAAAAGGGGGAAATACCAGAACAGTTATTATAGAGGTTTTAGTGAGCCTGAGCAAACGCATCCGCTGTAAGTTTAAAAAGGGGAATGTTACTCTGCTAAATTGTGAACTTGTTAACACTAGTTGGAAAGGCTATAATCAAACAATATATCCTCTCCTGCATCCCTGAACATTCCCACATTTTTCTCCCTATTCCTTTTCCCTTTTGTGTTGTGTTTTTCAGACTGTAAACCTGCAAGGCTATTTTGTTTTAATTGATTGTATATAAGCTACTCTGGGAGACTTTTGGGCTGAAGATTGGGAGTACCAAACGCTCTAAAACTACATAATGTACAATATAATGTACAAATTAGGCCATATTAATGTGTCGTTTGGCTCCTTACAGGTTCTGTAATGTCCAAGGACAAATGAAGTTTCCCATTTCTTCCTCTTTAAACTTGTATTTTATTTTTCTCGGTTGTGGCCAAAACTGATTGATTTATGATTTGGAAACATATTTAACTAACTGCTGAAAGTTTGCAGCCAGCAACAAATACAATGGCAGTTTTGCAACAAGGTTTTGCCCACTATAATTAGCACTTCTACATGCAATTTGTTTGGGCCTGGATTTGGAAACAGTGTTGACTCTATCTTTTCCTAATTGTTTGCAAAGGCTTGCAGTAAGATGCTTCTCATTTTCTAGTCTCTCAAACCATTCAGAGAGGGCCAAGCTAGAGATGATGGTAAATGCGCAGATGTTGCTGAAATCAACCACCATATGCCTAATTCTGCCCTCTCCTTCCATAATACTTAGCAGAATTTAAGTACAATCATCACATCATGACATTCCATGTTTCCCCATTCTTCGCCATCTGCAACCAATGATGTATTGTAGAGTAACAAGAATGTTGTGTACCATTTAAAGACTATTTACAGAAATATTGTAAAATTAAGGAATCTTAGAAGGATGTTGGATAGAAACTAAGAGGTTTTTAGCTGTAATGCTTTAAGAGATATGAAAAAAGGTTTACAATTGGGCAAAATTTTAATGGTAAGGATTTGCTGAACTAACAAACTGAACTGGAATACAAAAAAGGGAGGTATGAGGAGGTCCGGGGAAATAAGTCTAGGGAAGATAGGTTTGGAAAATTAATGTCTTTTTAACTGTTTTATTTTGTATGTTTCTTTTTATCCTTTACTTTTTTGTTATATTTTAAAAAATATTTACTCCTTTTTTCTGTATTTTGTATTTCTTGTATTTTTTGAAACTTTAATAAATATCATATAAAAAAGAAAAAAAATGTTGTGTACCTTAGAAGACTGTGGCATCACAATATGATGAAAGTATAATTGTTATGGAAAAGGTAGTGAAACTAGGTGTGTATTGTATTTTTTAGTGCCAGCCGGTGTTTTATCATACTGTCCCATTTGAGCCTAAATTTTTTTTTTAATGAGATATAAATACACAGTTTTGAATAAGTTAAAGGGGAAATCTTTCTTCATTTGAAGGATGAGATGATGGCAACAAATATGGTTTTGTCTTGTAGGAAATGCGTATCTACTATCTACATAAGAACAGCTTTTGAAAGTTCTTGAATATATATATATATTACTAAAAGACTATTTCCTTTAGTACTATTTAAAGTTGTGTTTTCCAGTAACTTCTCTATGTGACCATCATGAATGCCTAGATATTTGTGAAAATATTGCTTGACTAAGACATTTGCAGAGGGCTTTCTCAGTAGTGGCGCCCACTCTGTAGAACGCTGTCCCATCAGATGTCAAGGAAATAAAAAACTATCTGACTTTTAGAAGATATCTGAAGGCAGCCCTGTTTAGGGAAGTTTTTAATGTTTGATGTTTAATTGTATTTTTAATATTTTGTTGGAAGCTGCCCAGAGTGGCTGGGGAAAACAGATGGGCGGGGTATAAATAATAAATTATTATTATTATTATTATTATTATGATGATGATGACATCCACAAAGATTAGTTGCAGAATTTATCCCAGTATCAATGTGCCTTAACAGCTGGCAGTTCAAATTATATTAGAACTCTTTTAGTTTACCTTGCTTGCAGATACATTTACAATACACCTTAAATATGTGTATATACATAGCTTGAGGCTGAATTTAATTCTAGTTGCTATAGTTAGGGCTGCAGTCTGTTGCTATTGCAGTGTTTTGCTTGGCTTTGATGAAAGTCCCAATCTAGAAGCATAATATCAGTCCATATGCCTTCTTACACAATTAATGAAGCTTTGTGTGAGCATAAACGAAATATCTGACTGCAGTATCAATGTTTTTACTTCTCCGCGACTTTCAATGGTTTCATTTTGTATATGTTAGCAATACTCTGGAAAGATGAAAAATGTGCTCTTGCTTTTGCAATACACAATTCAGCTCCTAAGGTCAGAATGAGAACAGAACAAGGCAAAAACTGCTAGTTGATTACTACAATTAATTGTTGTAATTTGTTGATTTCAGCTTGAAATGGATTGTAATTAGGTTTTAATTGGACCTGTAGCCCATGTAAGCCTGGTGACTATTGTTATGAAGAATCCACAAGCATTTCTTAACTCAGTGAGTTCAGTGTGACTGTAAACTGTATAATTGCTATGTCAGTGTCAAAGCTAAACATTTAACAAGCATAAAAAAGCCACTTAGAAAACTTTAATTAGTTATAGCTAGTATGATAAGAACAAACAAGAAAAGTAAAATATTCTGGCTTGAGTTTTCCATGACTGAAGCAGAGTAAAGAATGAGAAGACTGAACTGGTAACAGAAAGAAAACTTATTTCCCTGTTAATTATTAGACATATATTACCACTATCAGCAACTTTCTCCCACCATCCAATAATTAGCATCCATATTATATATATATGAATTGAGAACCGGGATAGCTGTTCATCGCTGGAACCATTTGTGGTTCTGTGGACAATTAGATTCTGGCAGGACCATAGATGTCAAAAACAGCATGAAAATCTCTTTATTAGCCTCCCAACCATCAATTGGCTTCTGATCTAGGCCTGAGTTTGTGAGCCAAAGAGGGGAAATTGGCTAATTCCAGCTGGGTTGTTAATGAGAGACAATTAAAGGAAGGGCCTTAAGCCATAAAATTCTTCAGCCTGCAGATGAAAGAAAGAAAGAAAGAAAGAAAGAAAGAAAGAAAGAAAGAAAGAGAACAGCGTTTGACTGCCTACTATCCTGTCTACTAATGGAAATTCAGTTGTAAGAAATCCTTTATTCATTTTCTGACATCGGTGCTTTAACCTTGATCATGCAAATACTCATTGCACTGTCCTTTGCTGTTAAGGTTTGCATGTTTTCAGTCACATTTTGGTTGCATCAGCCTCCTGAAGTCCCAGGACTTCTCTGACAGCAGGGCATAGGTAAAGGTAAAGGGACCCTGACCATTAGGTCCAGTCGTGACCGACTCTGGGGTTGCGGCGCTCATCTCGCTTTACTGGCTGAGGGAGCCGGCGTACAGCTTCCGGGTCATGTGGCCAGCATGACTAAGCTGCTTCTGGCGAACCAGAGCAGCGCATGGAAACGCCATTGACCTTCCTGCCGGAGCGGTACCTATTTATCTACTTGCACTTTGACGTGCTTTCGAACTGCTAGGTTGGCAGGAGCAGGGACCGAGCAACGGGAGCTCACCCCATCGTGGGGATTCGAACCACCAACCTTTTGATTGGCAAGTCCTAGGCTCTGTGGTTTAACCCACAGCGCCACCCACGTCCCTTGACAACAGGGCATAAATACCAATAATTAATCACTGCAATATACAGAGAGTTGGGTCCAGTGGTAGTCCTCTGTTGATTGAAGGGTCTATAAATCAAAAAAGGGGTGTGGTGGTTTTCACAAATCCCCACTTTCTCCTGCCCCCCCAACCCCCTGATTGCCACCTCCCACTTAACTCCAAAGGGTTCCCCACCATCTGGAGCAGATAGGAGGAAGGGGAACTGCAGGGGGATGCAGGCAAAAGGGGGACTTGGTGAAAATCATGACCACAGAAGAATGCATTGGATCAAAGCAATAAATTCGGAAATGCTTTGGCAGGTTTTGGAACAGTTGTAGAGCAAAACCACCTGTTCTTCGCCAGATCATATGATGCTCCAAGGCACACGATGCAACAACCTTGCTGAAGCAAGAAAGGTGAGTCGGCATCAATGGGACTAGACAATGGGGTCCCTTCCAATTCTACAATTCTATGCTTCTCTTCTAAGAATACAAGGTATGCTGGTCCTCCTGGCTTTCTGCAGTTTGGCTTCCTGAAGGGGAAAGAGATTGTTTGGAAGGTACCTAACCCCTTCAGCCAGGGCAAACTCCAAGAGCCATTCAGTTCTGGCTTCAGAGCCAGTGTGGTGTAGTGGTTAAGAGCGGTGGACTCGTAATCTGGTGAACTGGGTTCACTTCCCCGCTCCTCCACATGCAGCTGCTGGGTGACCTTGGGCTAGTCACACTTCTTTGAAGTCTCTCAGCCCCACTCACCTCACAGAGTGTTTGTTGTGGGGGAGGAAGGGAAAGGAGAGTGTTAGCTGCTTTGAGACTCCTTAGGGTAGTGATAAAGCAGGATATCAAATCCAAACTCTTCTTCAACTCTCTGTTTTCCTGCTCAGATGGTCCAAGATCTGATTTAAACTTCAGTGTTATGGAATATTTAAAAGATTATTTTCCCCTTTAGCCTCTACCCTCTGTATAATTTTTTAAAAGTATTTTTGTATTTCACTCATTCTGTTCCTGAACTAACCATTGTGGGTCAATTTCTGCCTTAAGGATTTTGCTCACAAAACTTCTCCGTCAGTGTATTTTACAGTTGTGTGTCCTGGTGATAACATAAAGGGGTGTGACTTTTCTTAGTTCAACAACTTGCTAACAGCAAGGAGAAGGGTGAGTGTGGTTAATTTTCAAAGGATAGGGGGTGGGGAATAACAGTAATGAGATCCTCCTCCCTAGTTTCTGTGCTGTTTAACAAAAATTTTAGTGACCTGAAAATGCTTTATTTAAGGATGCATGTCTGTCCCCCCACCCCATTTCAGAAAATATATCATAGAGCAGAGAAGCAGGGGGCCTGAAATCCATGTGAAGAAAAAGGTTGCAAAGAGAGGCTGGCACAATTAGCATATTTCCCATTTAGAGAGGTGGTGGCAGGTTGTCTAGAGGCATATAATAATTATACAGTGGTACCTCGGGTTAAGTACTTAATTCATTCTGGAGGTCCGTTCTTAACCTGAAACTGTTCTTAACCTGAGGTACCACTTTAGCTAATGGGGCCTCCTGCTGCCTCCGTGCTGCCGGAGCCCGATTTCTGTTCTTATCCTGGCGCAAAATTTCTTAACCTGAAGCACTATTTATGGGTTAGCGGAGTGTGTAACCTGAAGTGTGTGTGTAACCCGAGGTACCACTGTAATATAATATAATAAAATTATTTATACCACGTCCATCCATCTGGGTTTCCCCAGTATCACCAGCTTGCCTGGTTTGGAAGATGCCAGTAGGAACAGCCATTTACCATTTCATCCAACTCAGAATCTAGGGGGACAGTCAATGAGATTAACACCCAGCAGATATATTCCAACTGCTCACTCTCTCTGCCAAGGGAAGTAAATTTTCCAGCTGATTCAAAGAAAGAAAGAAAAAGAAAGAAAGAAAGAAAGAAAGATTCGTAAAGCACCTTTCTGTATACCATTCCACAAGGACTATGACTACACTATGGATAATAATAATAATAATAAATTTTATTATTCAGGGCGGCTAATACCAGTAAAATTACAGTAAAAACATAATAGGAAAAAATAGGGGGGGATAGGAAAATGGGGGGGACCAATTTAAAATACAGGTTAAAATGCAATTTAAAATGCAGCCTCATTTTAAAAGTAGCCCATAGATCAAAACCATAAGGGGAGGGAAACATAAGGGTCAGACTGAGTCCAAACCAAAGGCCAGGCGGAACAGCTCTGTCTTGCATGCCAAGCTGGACTCCAGTCAACCCCAATCCAACCTAGTTCCTATTTTACAGTGGCTGAAGTAATTGTTGTGAGTTTCCTCTCTGTCAGAAACACCACCCTTTTCTGAGTCTCTTTGTGAATTAAAATTACCATGTTGGGCATTGCTATGCTTATTTTCTTGCATAGAGAATCCCACTTCCTGTGTTCCACTTCCCTTTCTTAACCACACAGTCATAAGTTACAGTGTGGGCTAAATATGTGTGTGTGTGTGTGTGTGTGTGTGTGTGTGTGTGTTCAAATACGTTAGAGCCCACACCTGCTATATCACATGTAACAACAGATACATAGACTTGGAACTGGAAGCTGGCCAGAAAAAACACCTGGATGGTAGTGAAAGAGCACAATAATTCCACCACACCAGGCTAATATACTATATTGAGAATCTGGTTAAGCATAATATTTCTCTCTCTCTCTCTCTCTCTCTCTCTCTCTCTCACACACACACACACACACACACACACACACTCTCTCTCTCTCTCTCTCTCTCTCACACACACACACACAAACACACACACCTTGCTAGATCTCAATAATACAAGTTAGATGCTTAATCCATTTTGGGTGGCTGGTGTTGTTTTCAAGACTAACCGGGCATCCAGGTAGCAGTATCTTCAGGCTCAGCAGGCTGTTGGCATGGTTACTGAAGTGTCTCTGGGCGAGGGAGGTGGTCCTTATCTGCTAAACCCATCTTCTCCTTCCATGACCCATTTGCATCCCACCACCAGTTGTTTCACCGCCATAGCACAAGGAAGCAGGATGCCTCCCTTCTCCTTCCCCTTCCCATCCCATCCCAGAAACTCCCAGATGCATAACACAACCAAATAATTCTATCCCCCCAAAAAACATTACCATAAAGAAAAGAATTGCAAATAAACAATCCAGAGCAACTAAAAAGCAGGGGAATCTATAAAAAAAACACACGCCTCATGTTCAATTACTCAAAGCTGCTACATCTGTGTGTGTGTAATTTTTATTGGGGTTTTTTTAATTGGTTTCTTTTTTAGCAGAATATTTCCAACATTATCAAAACAAACAATTATACCCTTTGCTCTGCCGAGCTAAAGCTGCTACGTCTTGGCTGAGTCGAGAAAGCCTTTCTGTGCACCACAGCGGAACCAAATCATCTTCTAGTTGTCACCAGGTCCTACATCAGTTCAGGTTGCCCTGTGTAATAACATCATTTACTAACTCTAAAAAGTAAGAGAGGGAGAGAGAATCACAATAGGTACGGCCTTCATTTTTCCAGATTGCAAACCTTTAAAGAACCTATTTAAAGAACCATTGCTCTGACAATGAGCCCTCATGGTACCATCTTTGTTGCTGCTAAGGCCCTAAAGATTGTTTAACCTATACAAAAAGCTCGTATATTGTTTGATGTGGCCAGAAGGAGCTGCCCAAAGATATAGTTAGGACATTTTAATTACCACATATTTGACTAGGCTCAGCATCAGTCCTTGAGTTACCAGGGAGAAAGTTACGGAAGCCCCTGATGAAATCCACAACTCTTATTTCCTGACTCCCCACAAAACTTAGCCAAATCACAACCTTCTTAAAAACAGTAGGGCTGCTGACACAAAAGTTAAGGAATCCCCCACTACAGGGCTTTTTTCCCAGCAGGAACTCAGTTCCAGCACCTCTCAAGTGGGTGCCATTGCCATTCCAAGTGAACAAGGGAGGCGTTCATGATGAGATCCGGCACCTCTTTTTCTAGAAAAACAGCATTGTGCCTGTTAGGTAAAGGGACCCCTGACCATTAGGTCCAGTCGTGGCCGACTCTGGGGTTGCGGAGCTCGTCTCGCTTTATTGGCCGAGGGAGCCGGCGTACAGCTTCCGTGTCATGTGGCCAGCATGACTAAGCCACTTCTGGCAAACCAGAGCAGTGCACGGAAACGCCATTTACCTTCCCGCCTTCCCCCCTATTTATCTACTTGCACTTTGACGTGCTTTCAAACTGCTAGATTGGCAGGAGCAGGAACTGAGCAACGGGAGCTCACCCCATCGCGGGGATTCGAACCGCCGACCTTCTGATCAGCAAGTCCTAGGCTCTGTGGTTAACCCACAGCGCCACCTGCGTCCCACATTCTGCCTGCTAACCCCTGGTAATTTGAACACACAACCGGCATGAGGAGCAGTCCTATTCCTGGATAGTGTAGGCTCCTCCATTCCTTTAACACCATTCCCATTTCTTCACCTGTTTGGGGAGCTGCACTAACACAATTGCACTGGCACACTGACTGGGTTAAAAATTAAAAATTAAACCTCTGCCCTGCACCATCACAGCCCTGATGCTTTGCCCTGGTAGCTTCACTTCCCAACCGGTTATTTTGCTGACATCCACAAGATCTGGGACCAGTCCTGCTTGGCTCGACCAGGGTGACTTGGCACCATTAGGTATACAACCCTTTTTAAATAAAACCGAGAAACACCCAACCATGTAGAAACAGAAACCTCAGCCACAGTGTAACATTGCGTATGTAAATTCAGCTTGACTCTCAATATTGCTGTGCATTTAACAGCAGGCTGGGAAGCTAGAGAGGACAGCATTATTTATGCATCTGTCACAAGCGATTTGCCAATCTAAATAATGACGAGGCCCTTTGGACAGCTCATGTTAACTTCCATTTCCAGTCATATTTCCTCGTTGCGATGGAGAGAAAGGAGGCAAAACTCCGTGGAACTTTTTAGCTTCAGATTTCTGAGGCAACTTTTCGCTGGAGAAGACAAAAGGTATTGCTGGGAAGCCAAAACAGCATGTGGCCCAAATGTGGTTTTTCAAACCCTGTATTAGATTTGTAACCTACCGGCAGGGTCAAAGGGGTATTATGAGTAGGTCATGGGAAGCTCATTGCTCTCGAGTCTTCCTATCAGAAGGGATTTGGTCATGTTACAGAAGCTCTGACAGTTCAGCAATGTTCGCCATCATATTGTGCCCACTGTGAAAGGTCAGTCACCGCCAGCTCTCGCTTCAGACAAAATATTTCCAGCAGGAGATCTCCTGACAATAAACTCGAGATATATATATATATGTCTTGCCAGAGCTAAGCATGACTGGAGTGCACGTTATTCCATTGGAAATCTTTAATCCTAGAATCAGAGAAAGCAAGCCATTTTCTTTTCCACTCACGGCAAAAACTGATCATTTCATCCACAAGCTTATCTCGACGCAGAGAGGAGGATGAGACAGGTCATTATAAAATGAGACGGTTTGTTGTCAGTTATTAAACACCTGAGTCATTAAAATCTCCTGATTACCCAAATTAAGGAGGGCTGCAGTTCCGCATGCGGGTTTTTAAATGCCGTTGTCTTTAATGGGATTTCGGCTAGCCGAATGGCACACAGAATTGCAGACACTGTTTCCACCAAGCGGCCTTGTGTAGCCCTATGTAAATGTCATTCATATTTTCTGAACTTCAATCAGAGTGTTTTGGATCTCCCCTTGAGCCTTTGTATAATGAGGCAGTTCTGTAATTTAAACGTGACGCCTTGGGACTGAAATAATAGAATTACATTAATGGGGATTTTGTGTTTGCAGAAAAAAGGAGGAGCTCCTTTGGTGCGTTAGCTCTTGCCAGTAACTTCTTATTTGGCCTCTCAGATAGTTTCCATTTACAGTGATCCCAGTTGTTTTAGCTCTGTTTCTCAAGGAAAAAAAACCCAGCAATCTCATTCTTAATCTTCCATTTTGGGTAAATGAGGGTAAAAATGTAAGTTAATGCTATCAAACAAATTGGAGGGGGGTACTTAATTAAGCCCTATTCAGAGTTCACCCATTAAAGTTAATGAACCTAGGTCAGTCATGTCTATTAATGCCAATGGGGCTACTCTGAGTAGGATTAGCATTGGATACCATTTGGGGTATTTGCAGTGCTATGGGTAATTATTATTATTGAGGGGGTTGTTGGTTTTAAAGACATTTCTGTTGCGAGTTGCCTTGTCCTAAAATGTAACTTGACAACAAGAAAGAAAGAAAGAAAGAAAGAAAGAAAGAAAGAAAGAGGGCACATAAAATTGTATCCTTTCTTTCTATCAAATGATTGCACTCAAAATGTTATCCGGTGGTCTTGAGTAGCTCTTTCCATTTGTGATCCATTGCACACACCAGCTTGGGCCCACCTACCTTCTTTTAAAGGGGGGGTGGGGGGCGTCTGTTCTTTGTTCTGCTATAATATCTAAAGCGCAACCTTTGTGATTATACCATTAGAGGGAATTGGAACTTTCTGCAAAGCATATAGGGGCATAAGAAGAGCCCCGCTTGATCAGGGCAAAGGCCCATCTTGCCCAATATTCTGTTTTCACAGTGGCCTAACAGCATGGCCATCTGCCATGGATGCTTTAGCTGAGATTCCTGCATTGCAGAGGGTTGGACTAGATGACCCTTGGGGTCCCTTCCAATTCTTTTTTTAAAAAAATATATATATTTTTATTAATTTTTTAACATATCAGTTCCAACAGTCATACAACATAACTTCTCATCTTATACAATATTTTTGGACTTCCATCAACACCTCTGATGATTTTCTGTACTTTTATCACTTATTATGCATTTCTTAGTTTCTATATTACATTTAATTATCCTTAATTAATAATTCTCTTCATAGTCTTTCTTGCAATATTTCAAATAATCCACCTTACAAAACTTCTTGCAGTCCTACTAGCGTAATCTGTTCATCACAATTACTTTTCAAATATTTCATATATTTACTCCAGTCCTCTAAGAATCTCTGATCCCACAGGTTTCGAATCCTTCCTGTTAATTTATCTAATTCTGTATAATCCATCAACTTCATCCTCCATTCTTCTTTCGTCGGTAATTCTTCTTGCTTGGGGTCCCTTCCAATTCTATGTGCAAAAAGTCCAGTCTGGACTGCAGCTCTGGAAAACTTGAAGGTGTGACACACTTTTGTGATGTTTTTGTTCATCCCTGTTTTTGTTCCCCCTACTCTCAGTTTTGGAGCATTTTCATTACAGTGTTCAGGTTTTTGTTTTTCAGAAAGTGCACACTAGCTAAAGACATCGGTCAGACATCTAAAGGCACAACTTGCTTCTGAAAATCTAGAGTCTGAATTGTCACCAGGGAGCAGTGTCTGTAAGTTGCTTGGATCGAATCACCTGGGGAAGCCTCAGTAAGTCCCTGTGAGCTCCTCAGAGGAAGATCAGGGGAATAAGTGTTGCAAATAAACAAATAGGCTGCTGACTGCGTTGAGGCAGGGCTGGTCCGCCTGTGAGGCAAGATGAACCGACTGCCTTGGGCGGCTGATTCAACAGGGACAGCAGATCCCAAACAAGATCTTTATCAGCACCTTGTTTCTTATGTAGATCTTCGCTCACCCCATCTTCCCTGGCAGGGAGGGGGCACCATTTTGTGGTTCACCTCAGGTACCAAAATGTTTTTGAGGACATTGGATTTGGCTGTGTTCGACCTTTGGGGTATTTGGGGGTAGATCTTAATGCTGACCTCTGTTTATGGCAAATACAGTTTGGAAGATAGGCTGATCTGTGACAAATTACAGTGGTACCTCTGGTTAAGAACTTAATTCATTACGGAGGTCTGTTCTTAACCTGAAACTGTTCTTAACCTGAGGTACCACTTTAGCTAATGGGGCCTCCCGCTGCCACCGCGCCTCCACCGCACAATTTCTCTTCTCATCCTGAGGTAAAGTTCTTAATCCGAGGTGCTACTTCCGGGTTAGCGGAGTCTGTAACCTGAAGTGTTTGTAACCCGAGGTACCACTGTACTTTTATCACAATGAGGAAAATAAAGGAAACTGCAGCACAGATGCAAGTAAACCAAAGAATAAATAGCAACAGGTATATTTTAGGAAGCTAGACATGGGTGGACAGATTTGCACAACATGCATTTTTTCCCCTTTTCTTTTTTAATCAAGGATTTGGGAAATGCACTGGGTGTTTTGGTTCTGTTTTGTGAATTGCCACTGTTCACTACATAATTATGTGTACTTTCTGCATTTTTCTCTGACCTCGCTGTGTATAATCCCCACCACCCAAAAATCATGTTTATATATACCTGCAAACTCAGCCAACACTTCATGCATCTGATTATGTGAAATCTGATCCGCAAAAGTTTATGCCACAATAAACATGTTAGTTTTTAAGGTGCCACAAGACTGCTGATTTCACTGCAACACTGGGCTACCCCTCTGGAAACTCATTTTGTAAGTCTCTGATGTTCTGTTGCATGAAAAATGCGGAAATTATTGAGGCATTTCTTTATTAGCTGCGGCCAGCAAAATAATTGCAAGGATCTTAGCAAACCGTCTCCTAATTATATCTAAGGATTATCATCTTCCAAAGCAACTACAGTGGTACCTCGGTTTTTGAACATCCTGGAAGTCGAACTTTTCAGTTTTTGAATGCTGAAAACCTGGAAGTCACTGCTCCGGTTTCTGAACGCTTTTCGGAAGTCAAACGTGCCATGTGACTTCTGTGTTGAGTTTTTCATAAGTAAATGCTTCTGGAAATGTATGCTTCAGTTTGCAAATGTTTTGGAAGTCGAGCGGTTTTCTGGAATGGATTACGTTCAAAAATTGAGGTACCACTGTACTCTATTCCCAACTTAAGAATGGAAAGCAAAATATCAGTGGACAACAAAAGAGGTTTAAAGACGCTCTCGAGGCAAAACTAAAAAAATGTAATATAAGCACTGATAACTGGGGAAAACTGGCCTGCAATTGCTTCAATTGGAGAACAGCCTTTACCAAAGATGTCATGGACTTTGAAGATGCTCGAACTCAGGAGAAACTAGCTAAGAGGGAGGCACATTTGGCAAACAGGAGATCTGAAATCAGAAACTCGTAACAGTTTTTCAAAAAAATTAAAAATAGCTTCAGGAGGCCCAAATTGACTCAGAACTATATTTGTGGAGGTGGGAAGCATCATTTAACCCTGTCCTGACCCTTCATCTTTTCTTTTACACGGGGAACTGGTAAAATCCCAGGTATTCTATCATTCAGCACAAAGCTAAAACCAGAACCAATATCCTGCGCAGCTTTTGGGATAAGCTTCCTAGTATACACTTCCATAGATGCCCTACTGTTTACCAAGCCTTAATTTTATTTCTCTCCCCTCCCTCCTTTTTCGGCAGGAGAGGAGGAAGGGTGGGAAACTACTGGAAGATCTTTGGGTCAATACTCTAAAGCTCTTTTCTTTTTTTGAGAGTTGCTGTTGTAATCTACCTTAAATTGATCTGGATAGCTGCAGGCGCAGCTGACTCCAGCAATTCAGCTTTATCCACGTTACCTGCAACAGCTAAGATACGCTTCGTTAGCTAGGTATCTTGGGCTGAATTTGGCTCTCAGTCATGCTGCTTCATATCTGGAATAATTCCATTGGTTACAGCCATATTACTCTGGATTTGCACAAGGAAACTGCGAGCAGAATTTAGCTCTCCCCTTTTTCTGTCCAATTGCTTCAGCAGCTGAACGCTGCAAGCTGCATAACATTTCCACAGCGCAGGTACCGTTCAAAGACCCAAGGGGATTGGTAAGTCGCAGAAACCTAATGTTATTTGTATTTACACTGAACTCTCTAAGAAGATGAGATATTTCTGCTGCAAAATTTAACTTTTGTTCGAGTCGGGGGGGGGGGGGAAACGTTGAAAGAGGCTAGCTCTTCTGGCAAATCCGCCAGCTCTAAAAACTGATCACCAACCTTTGGTATCATTTGACAAGGTATCATTTGGTAGGCATTTGACAAGGTGCCCCATGATATTCTTGTAAAAAAGCTGGTAAAATGCGGTCTTGACTATGCTACCACTCAGTGGATTTGTAACTGGCTGACTGACCGAACCCAAAGGGTGCTCATCAATGGTTCCTCTTCATCCTGGAGAAGAGTGACTAGTGGGGTGCCACAGGGTTCTGTCTTGGGCCCGGTCTTATTCAACATCTTTATCAACGACTTGGATGATGGACTCAAGGGCATCCTGATCAAATTTGCAGATGACACCAAATTGGGAGGGGTGGCTAACACCCCAGAGGACAGGATCACACTTCAAAACGACCTTGACAGATTAGAGAACTGGGCCAAAACAAACAAGATGAATTTTAACAGGGAGAAATGTAAAGTATTGCACTTGTGCAAAAAAAATGAGAGGCACAAATACAAGATGGGTGACACCTGGCTTGAGAGCAGTACATGTGAAAAGGATCTAGGAGTCTTGGTTGACCACAGACTTGACATGAGCCAACAGTGTGACGCGGCAGCTAAAAAAGCCAATGCAATTCTGGGCTGCATCAATAGGAGTATAGCATCTAGATCAAGGGAAGTAATAGGGCCACTGTATTCTGCTCTGGTCAGACCTCACCTGGAGTACTGTGTCCAGTTCTGGGCGCCACAGTTTAAGAAGGACACTGACAAACTGGAACGTGTCCAGAGGAGGGCAACCAAAATGGTCAAAGGCCTGGAAACGATGCCTTATGAGGAACGGCTAAGGGAGCTGGGCATGTTTAGCCTGGAGAAGAGGAGGTTAAGGGGTGATATGATAGCCATGTTCAAATATATAAAAGGATGTCACATAGAGGAGGGAGAAAGGTTGTTTTCTGCTGCTCCAGAGAAGCGGACACGGAGCAATGGATCCAAACTACAAGAAAGAAGATTCCACCTAAACATTAGGAAGAACTTCCTGACAGTAAGAGCTGTTCGACAGTGGAATTTGCTGCCAAGGAGTGTGGTGGAGTCTCCTTCTTTGGAGGTCTTTAAGCAGAGGCTTGACAACCATATGTCAGGAGTGCTCTGATGGTGTTTCCTGCTTGGCAGGGGGTTGGACTCGATGGCCCTTGTGGTCTCTTCCAACTCTATGATTCTATGATTCTACCTCGGGTTAAGTACTTGATTCGTTCCGGAGATCCGTTCTTAACCTGAAACTGTTCTTAACCTGAAGCACCACTTTAGCCAATGGGGCCTCCTGCTGCCACTACACCGCCAGAGCACAATTTCTGTTCTCATCCTGAAGCAAAGTTCTTAACCTGAAGCATTATTTCTGCGTTAGCGGAGTCTGTAACCTGAAGCGTATGTAACCTGAAGCGTATGTAACTTGAGGTACCACTGTATCAAAGAAGCTTGCTTGTGTATATTTGAATAGAGAATGATTGGCCACCAGATCGGAACAAAGTTCTTGCATGGGAGAACACATATATTATAAATTTGATTATAATAACTTGCTTCACTGTGAAGCTGGACTCACACAGGAACTGATGATTTCATAGATGGTAGGAAGGGTGAGTTTACATAAGGCCCTGAGTCCAGACGTTGGTAAGAAGAAGAGGAGTTTGAATTTGATATCCCGCTTTATCACTACCCAAAGGAGTCTCAAAGCGGCTAACATTCTCCTTTCCCTTCCTTCCCCACAACAAACACTCTGTGAGGTGAGTGGGGCTGAGAGACTTCAGAGAAGTGTGACTAGGCCAAGGTCACCCAGCAGCTGCATGTGGAGGAGCGGGGAATCAAACCCGGTTCACCAGATTACGAGTCTACCGCTCTTAACCACTACAGTATTTCTATCTGGGGGGAAAATCAGGTGGCAAGGCTGGCAAAGATCTCTTCCCTGGACACCCTGGAGAGTGGTTTGTTTTGAAGCATTTCTAAAATGCATTATAAAAAAGACTCCTGGAGCAGCTTCACGGATCACTAAAGCACCCAGTCAGTCTCAGGCTTACAATCTAAAAGACATATAACATGAAAGCAAAATTTTGTGAGGGAGGGGGAAAACCTCAAAGCTAGCCACAAGATCTTTAAAGTTACAGAGATCACCTTGAATGGAAACAGTTTGGGGAGAGGAGAGGGGCCAATCTTTTCTCGGATAAGCCTTGCTTCATGTATTTCCATCTGATATGCAGCCTGAAAAATGGCTGCTGCGAGGAACAGTCCCTCAACAAGTTCGTTGTTCCTAGTCAGTGTAGACAATACCTGATTACTGGATCCTTAGTCTGTCTCAATATAAACCTGTCCAAAGGAACAAAATACTGCCCTACACCGAATCAATCCATTGGACCACCCTCGATGTAGAGCTTGGCTCCTGCCTTGTTCCCAATGTAGCTTCACTCACCACCCCCTGTGGTGAGTGCCTGAGGGCCCTGCTCTTGCCGCTTACCATCTGGCCTGGGGCGGGGCCTGAAGCCTCACAAGGACTGCTCTGCTGCCCAGGGGGACTCCCTGTGTGAGTGCCTGAGGGCCCTGCTCTTGCCACTTACCATCTGGCCTGGGGCGGGGCCTGAAGCCTCACAAGGACTGCTCTGCTGCCCAGGAAGACTCCCTGTGTGAGTGCCTGAGGGCCCTGCTCTTGCCACTTACCATCTGGCCTGGGGCGGGGCCTGAAGCCTCACAAGGACTGCTCTGCTGCCCAGGTAGACCCCCTGTGTGAGTGCCTGAGGGCCCTGCTCTTGCCACTTACCATCTGGCCTGGGGCGGGGCCTGAAGCCTCACAAGGACTGCTCTGCTGCCCAGGAAGACTCCCCTGTGATGAGTGCCTGAGGGCCCTGCTCTTGCCACTTACCATCTGGCCTGGGGCGGGGCCTGAAGCCTCACAAGGACTGCTTTGCTGCCCAGGAAGACTCCCCGGTGGTGAGTGCCTGAGGGCCCTGCTCTTGCCACTTACCATCTGGCCTGGGGCGGGGCCTGAAGCCTCACAAGGACTGCTCTGCTGCCCAGGGGGACTCCCTGTGTGAGTGCCTGAGGGCCCTGCTCTTGCCACTTACCATCTGGCCTGGGGCGGGGCCTGAAGCCTCACAAGGACTGCTCTGCTGCCCAGGAAGACTCCCCTGTGGTGAGTGCCTGAGGGCCCTGCTCTTGCCACTTACCATCTGGCCTGGGGCGGGGCCTGAAGCCTCACAAGGACTGCTCTGCTGCCCAGGGGGACTCCCTGTGTGAGTGCCTGAGGGCCCTGCTCTTGCCACTTACCATCTGGCCTGGGGCGGGGCCTGAAGCCTCACAAGGACTGCTCTGCTGCCCAGGAAGACTCCCCGGTGGTGAGTGCCTGAGGGCCCTGCTCTTGCCACTTACCATCTGGCCTGGGGCGGGGCCTGAAGCCTCACAAGGACTGCTTTGCTGCCCAGGAAGACTCCCCTGTGTGAGTGCCTGAGGGCCCTGCTCTTGCCACTTACCATCTGGCCTGGGGCGGGGCCTGAAGCCTCACAAGGACTGCTCTGCTGCCCAGGGGGACTCCCCTGTGGTGAGTGCCTGAGGGCCCTGCTCTTGCCACTTACCATCTGGCCTGGGGCAGGGCCTGAAGCCTCACAAGGACTGCTTGCTGCCCAGGGGGACTCCCCTGTGTGAGTGCCTGAGGGCCCTGCTCCTTCTTGCCACTTACCACCTGGCCCAGGGAGGGCCTGACAGGCCTCACAAGGACTGCTCCTGCCACTTACTATCTGGCCCAGGGTGGGGCCTCACAAGGATGGTTGTTGCCACTGATGCTGCTACTGCCCAGGAGGACCTGGAGGGGTGCAGAGTTCTTTTTAACATGGTTTTTTTATTATTAAATATCTTCCTTTCCCTTTAGATTTTTTATATATG